GTTGTATTGACATATGCATTTACTGATAATTTAATTTTTCAAATTTAATTTGTTTAAAAATGACTGAAAAAATGTTAATATTTATTAAATTGTTAAGCGCGCATGCTCCGCCTCGCTCTCCCCACTCGTTCGCTAGACCAAGTAATAGAACGCATCGCCGCTATCTTCTTTTTCGCAATTAAATAGTTGAATTCACCTTAATGTTAATGTAGGACATGAAAATATAGCTCTTAATGTATACTCTCTCCAAATTTCGGCTCTTAATATTAATAATTAAGGTCACTGCGATTAAATAAAAAAAAAAAATCTCAGCTTCTAATCAACTTACAACAACGATTTTTTTTTTAAATTCGAAGAAAACTAAAGTAAAGAGGTTACTATTTTATTTTATAATAATTACCTATCTTAACAATTTAATAAATATTAACATTTTTTCAGTCAATTTTAAACAAATTAAATTTGAAAAACTAAATTCTCAGTAAATGCATATGTCAATACAACTATTTAGGTACAAAAACAACTAATGATCGAAACCCTACAACGCCTGTGAGCTTGGGAAAAATGAATTGAAAATAGCATCTTCTTAGATAACAAATTCCGCCAACGCCAAACCAATAGAGCTTTCGAGCTGAAATTTTTACCACTTATTAAGGGTGTAAAAAGCCTCAAAAATCCTGAATTACAAGTGTCTGCGATGAAAATTGCATTAATTACTAGCAATTGAAAAAAAACGGCAATTTTCGACCATTTTTGAGCTCTTGAGCATAAACAAATTATCGGAATTTAATCGGACTTTTCTCATTTTATAGGCTTATTCAATACCTACCTTTTTGTATAAACTTTTTTTCGCTATGAATAATAGTTTCTTTACGTGAGTCAAAAAACCACTTTTCCATAACTTTGACCACTGTTAAAACAAAGTTTCCCAATTAGCCTCGAGTTGATTTTTTGATATTTTACAGGTTTCCGAACAATATTCCGCAGAGAAACTTCTAATAGTATTTTTTTCCCGAAACAGGCTCTTTCATGTCTATAATGACTGGGCTATAGCCCGTATACACGCTGCTGTCGCGTTAATAGACCAAGAGATGCTACAAAGCGTTCATGCTTCAATGTTGAATCGTGCTAATCTTTGTTTTGAAGTAGAAGGCAACTTATTTGAACACCTTTTGTAAAAACAATTTCGATTATTTAAGAACATTATGGTTTTAGTTTTTATATATTTTATAAAATAGTTTTATTATTAAAATGTTTTTCTCTATCATTTTCAGATTAAAATAATTCCTTACACCAAGGTAGAACCGACAATCGGAAATTATACTTACCGACTATTGGTTATAAAGTATTTGTCTTGGTTCCCATAAGCACAGACCTCAGTTTGGAGACAAAAAAAATGTATTTTCACTTTTTTAGTTTTTTGAATAATTTTTTGAATAACTCGACAAAGAAAAACAATACGAAAATTTTCCACTATTGATTTTCAATTCGTTTTTGTCCCCTTAATCAAATCCCAGAAGGACGGGCGTCACTTTTGGGACACCCTATATATAATATATTATTATATCCTATGCCTACAATATCAACTTTGATCAGTTTTGGTATACTGGAATTCAATTTTACAATGCTACTTTTTATTTTGCTATAAACAGTAAATTAAAATCATTTAATGTTGTTTTCTTTGTTAAATCTATAATTATTTAACAATAGAAATTTAAATTTAGCCACTAAAAACCAATCATTAAAACACCTACAAAACTAAAACTGCCGGACAAAGAATATTATAAGTTTTTTTAGATAATTGATGTATTATTGCATTTTGCAAGTAAAAAATTTGGCTTCGGTTTTCACAGATGAAAACAAACCATCGCATTTTATCGCATTGCTATTAAAATTCAACGATAAAATAATAATTTTGAACATAAAATACACTGCCACTTTTCCACCAATAACAATAAATTCCACTCATGGGAAAATAGTCTCTCCCAGCATGAATTATTGCAATTGCATATAATTGAAACAGCTAATTGTTAAACACGAGCCTCTTTCACTTCTTTAAAGGTGGTCACATATACTCGTATGTCAACTTTCTTCAATTTACGATAAAGATTCGTAGGTTAGAAAGGTAGGTACATATATTTTAGAAATCTGCATTAACTGGTGATGGGACGTTCTAATTCATTTGACATAAATGTGACTCGTTTCTATAAAAAAAAATGAAAGAAATAAATTAAGAATTAATTTTTGACGTTAATTTTTAACTTTAAAAAAGTATCATTATGCTGTTAGGTACAGGTACGGGTTTTACATTTTTATTAACAATTATATAAAATACCCAAACACCCATCTGACTTCTGTAAAATAAAATTTAATGTCTTCAAATTATATATTCTCGGTATATCCATTGCTTACACAGTATTGTTATTTGACACTGTATAATTAGTCATTCGTGATACCTCCTTATAACTTTTAATTTGTCCAATATATATTCATGTCTTTATTGTTGTTTTATCCACACACCCCACTTTATTAATTTATTTCAAATTTAATTCATTTAAAACCTTCAAAAGATACCAATTAAAAATATTGCAAATCTGTTCATAAATCTTGAGTTATCTTTAAAGCACAGTGAAAAAAATAGTTCTGTTAAATTTAATACTATAAACTGTTTTACTTTACCAGCTTTTGATTATCCTTAAATTGCCTCAAGAAAATATGTACAGAAGTGATATCTTTAACTATTATTTTGAACGAATTCTATTTTGGAGAATGATACGCCACCTCACTGATTTTTTGCATTGTAATGTGTATATCACAACAAAAAATTCAATTATTTTAATATAAAAATGCAAGCAAAAAACTAAATTCAATTTTCTGAATACTCTACCTACACTCAACCCTATAATTACGTCACTAAATGAAGTTATTGCGTTTGATGATGACAATTGGTCTTCCAAATACGCCGATTCTTAATTTTACTTTCATGTTTTAGAAAAAAATAAAATAAAAAGATTAAAATTAAAAGCAACATTGTCACATAACTTTTTAAAAATATTGTAGAGAAATTTGTTAATATTTTTGGTGTATTTAGCCACAATACAATTTTAAACATTTAATAAAAATGTAAATAAACCCCTTTTGTGTACTTTGATATCTCATAATGAAAAGTAGAATAAACATCACTACAAAACACTGTCCATACTACACAGGGTGTAGCATAAGTACTTGCCAATATTTTAAGTGACCCTTTAAATAATCTTAATGAAAAAGTTCTTATAAACCTGCCCTAAACGGCTTAGTATAGTGATACAGGGCGTTAAAAGTAAATGTAAACAATTACCTTTGCCAGTGGCGGGGACGCTAGGAGGTGCTAACATTGAAAATTCCATAGTTACTACGCCAATGTACCATTTTAATCGACAAACAAGCGAATATTGACTTAGTATTTTAAAAAATCTAAACAAGCTTACGAAACATTGAATATTATCAAAAACTACCCGCTTCACAAAAAAAAAACTGTACAAATTTTTTATTGCAAATAATGTGCTGATCATAACTCTTAAAAATAACATTGACGTAGAATTTCTGAATTTTTTCGAGGATAGAAGGGGCCTAATATCAGTGATTAATAGAAGGTGCCTATAATAAATTAAAATTACGTGACTCACACCAAATTCCGCATTGCTGCACTACACTGCTAGGCCATTTGTTGACAACTGAATTTATGTCCAGGTCGCCCAGTGCGACTGTGTATGTGCCGCGTTTACCCGCGCGCTCATTCTTCAACTGGGCGACCAGACTTCTATATGAGTATGGCTAAATAAATATGAGAACAAGTTTTTCAAATAATTCAATGCCGAGTTGCTGCGTCAGCGACCGAACCTGGTACACACTGCCAACCTCTTGGTTCTTCAATTGAGATCGGAAAGACTAGACTTTAAGGGAAAGTGTTTATCTTTGTCTCATTGTTATATTAATACAAGTGTGTTAAAAACAACCATAGACTGTTGACAGGTTGTAGGTTTATTTACTTTATTTTATTGTTTTTATTTGAAGTGTGACAAAATACCCAAATACAGAAACACTGTTCTTTATTTTAAAGACTAACTCAAATTAATTTTAAGAAATACCTACAAAAATAGTACCTGAAGTCAAACAATGTTTATTGATAACACATATATACAGGAAATACCTAACCACATTGACGTGATTCTTAACTGGTGTTGCGGGAAACAACTACTCTACCGACTACAGGCCCTCACTAGCATTGAATTACACCACCAATATCTAGTAAATAGTACTATTTCATTCTTTTTGTTTTAACATGTCTTTTGACAAATACCAGCACCTAATATAGCCACAATAGATAGATCTCAGCTTGCAGTTTAGTGTTTTCTTTTATTTAGCTTTAAAAATTCTATTACAATAAAATATACAGGGTGACCCGTAAATATGTGCACAACGGAGGACTGTAGATTACTGGACTTAAAACAGACCAGTTTAGGCTGATTCACCTATATACAAAATCTTTTCGTTTGGCCGCTAGATGGCCTCGAAGTTCTTGAAAACATTTTTGAATGTTTTAAGCAACTCTAACACGCATTAACCGATTTTGATTATTTTTTCGGAGAAGAAAAAGCTTTTGATTTCAAAGCCCCCACCAGAAATAACCACAGGGTATTAAATCTGGCGATCGCAGTGGCCATTTTCTGAAGGCATCTTGTCCTCTTCCGATATTGCAAATGTAAATATTGTAACACCCTGTGTATAAAACCAGTTACTAATGTCACTACACAAAATTAATGATATAATAAGCTTCAGAAATTAGAGATTTACCACTACCTCTTCCGTCGACGGCTACCGGCATGCGGTTTTTACGTATCCTTCCAAGAAAGCTGCCAAGCCGCCGCGTCCTTACTCGGTGGCAAGGTCTCAGCACCAGCTTTGCTGTCCTGCCGACTAGTGGGAGAAACTGGAAAGAGTTATACCGGAGGTTACCCGACGAAAACCCCCAAGAAGTGGCTCGTAGCTCGCGTTGCTCGCTTGCGTGTCGGTACGGTAAAGTAGACTTGGTGCAAAGTGACTTTACTGAGCTAGGGCGGCGTTTAGGACAGGCAGACCCTTTGGATTGTGTGTGATTTATTTTGTTGTTGTCGTTAAGGATACGTTCTAAGATCACGTAAGTACAGAGATGGGTCCTTGATACAGTCAGTTTTATTTTTTTTATACAAGATTTACGTTTGTTCTTTTAAAGCAGAATTTAAAAATAGGACAAGTGGCAATAATAAAATTCTTCTAATGAAACATAATCTTAGAGTTACCAAACTAGTTTTTTGAAACTACTTGAAATTATAGTAATTTTTAAATAAAAAAAGTTTTCAAGAAAATATGAAAAATGCATCAGTATTTTTAAACAGAAAAAGCACTTGTACTTCGCCAAAACAGATAGCATCGTTCGTATCCAACAAAAGTTGGCATTTTTTGGCTTGTAGATGTATTTTAATTTAAATTTAAGACAAACAGATTTGCTGTAGTCTAATTTCGTTGAATGGCTCCTATTAAAGTCGGTTTAATTAATGTTTTATCATCTTTTTTCAACCTAAACCTAGCAAAGCAGTAATTTTGACCAAATTTGAACCATTCGTTTTGAATATACCTAAAACAACCCAAAAACTGACTACCATCTCAACTCGAATCTAAAATTCAAAACGTGCTTTTTAAAAAAAGCCCAGGACACCAAATTTCGCTACGTTTAACGGTTATTTTGACTAGGAAATATGGACATGCTTGCAGATCAAATTAGTTTGCGAAGTGATTGGAAAATTCTTTCTTTTTTCTACCAGAACAGAACAAAGCAATTTCTTAAGACAGAGGGAGCGCTACCAGTCCCATGGTCTGTTGAACAAAGAACTGTTGTTAGGGGAAAGGTTGTGTTGTAATACGGGGAGTGTTTCTGAATAATCATAGGCGTCGGTTGAATTTCTTACAAGGGGATGCGTTCGTCCACGACGAGAAGGTATTTAGTCCATTAAATACCAAAAAAGAATATACTTATATTTTATTTTGATACAAGTAATTATTTTTATCCAATCATCTTATAATCGGACTCTTATCCACACATATGAACCGTATAAAGTGATGCTTTATCCACTAGTTGAATAAAGTAACTTTATTTCAATAGTAGGATAATGAAAAAATAATAAACCTATACTTAACAAATCAAATTTGATTTATTTACTTTTTAACATTAACATTTACATTTATTGTAATAGACATTTCGTTTTTTGTTTTATCACATTTAACTTCCTTTCCGTTAATAACAACCCTTGTAGCACTGTTGCCATCATTTTCAAAACACATAACATCTGCCGAAGTTTGTGAAGAATTTGCACAAGTTACAGATGTCTCTTCTTGTAAGGAACAGCTATATTTTCCTTGGATTTTCCTTGCAATATCAAGTTTGTTAACAACATAACTTTCTGCTACAGAGGAGCTCTTCCATCCACCATGCCGTTTGATGGTTGTAATATCAGCACCTTTATTGGCTAATAAAGTTGTTGTTGAAGTGCGCCTCATACAATGGCCAGTATATGCTTCTGGATTTGCGGTATTCAGGAATGAAGCAACTATTAAGGGTACCTTCGCCAATGTGTTAATTCCAACAGACTGAGAAGTACATCTGATTGATGTATCTTAACAAGAATCTGTCTTGTGTTAGGCGAATTGGGCGCAGAGAAATATATTTTCTGCATATTTTAACAGCATTCACGCAAAATCCTTTTTCTATAATAGTAAATTTTCTTGAAATGCTTTTCTTGATGTCAGGTATTGAATTTGTCAATTCGCAGCATCAACAGGCACCAGAAATCCCTATTATTAGTGCAATCCAAAATAATTCTCGATTCACTCTTCAAGTAAGCAGTAAGCTTGTTGTATTTTCCAATATCTACATATATTTTTGTAGACCTTTATAGTAGCCTTCAACATCGAATACTTCGACCGTATAGATGAAATTGCATATTTGTTCTTCAAATTAAAAAAATACGATATCATGACTTCTTCATTTATTATCATTACTCTCGTTTTTTCCCCTCCATTCGTTAAATTCGGCGAACACTTTTTTGTAATGTTCCCTGGATTTCACTGGCAATAAATGGAAAATTGCTTCTTGAGCTTCTTCAAAAACAGCCAGAGCAACACAATTACTTCCCTGCATTTTTATCAAATTCATTTTTTTTTATTAAATTCCAATAATTCTGACTTCACAAATATGATTGTGATGTGATTATGGATAAAACGTTATATTACACTCATGTTTTAATTGCCTTTTATCCACTTAAATAAGATTTATTTTAGATTTACAGCTATAATATTTGGTTTACGTTTATATCACCGATGTTGAAGGTAAAACAGACGGCTATAAAAAGAAGTGTAAAGTTTTTTTATACCATTTATGTAAACTTGAAGGTTGTTACATATTTTCATCACAATACTATTAGAATTATTCGAAGTTCAAAGTCAAATCCATCTTCAATTTATATGCAAATATATCCTCATAAAATAATAATAAACGTCGAAGTTTAATCATTTTGCCAACATTTTATGGGCCCGTGTGAATTTACTGACGTCAAAGAAACTTCTTAAAAAATTTTATTTGAAATGATGACGGTCTCAAAGTACATCTTCGAACACCACACTATTTTATTACAGGAAATGTTAATGTTAAACAAGTAGAAACAGAAACCACATTTTGAATAATTTTTAATGTGCTTTTGATAAACGAAATACTTAAGTTGCGCCACTGGTAAAGATGAACTCAGCTAATTCCCGTCATCACTATTTCTCTGAATTTTGTTGCAAAAAAAATTAAATCCGTGGTCTTGCAAATGGATAGGTACTTTTTATAAAAATGTAATAGCAGGTGCCGATTAATTGTTACTGGTTTTTCTATGCCATGGTAATTTTTAATAGATTGATTTAACTGAAATTCAATTATTTCTCCCACAATTCTATTTCCAACATATTACAGCACATTTATATGAACGTTATTAATAATATATTATACAACAAGAACAAACCTAACCTTAAAAGTGTTATAAGGAAACATTGTTTTCTAGCAGTTGATAAAAACTAACAAAGCTGACATATTAGCATCCTAAAAAATTTATATGTATTGCATTGTTTTTTGGAAAAGATGTGGCACATATTTGATTGAAAATAATCGTCCTTCATCAACATGAAAAAACCGTTTTATATTTTGATATATCAGCATATTTTCCAAAACACCCTGTATATTATGTGTCATTAGAATCATCAATCTCGATCTTAACCACAAACCAAATAAGGGTTTTATGTTTACTGCGAAATGAGGTATTTTCTATGCACATCTTTATTAAAAAATTGAAGCCCTTGCAGTAAACAACAACAACTTTTTTTATGGATACTAGATATCGTATATATTTGTTTATTTTTTCCATGCTGTAATGAATACGGTATTACTTTTATTATGCCGTAATATGAGAACATGTAATTTGATATATATTAATAGAACTTCTTTAAGAATACAGGTTCAGTCAAAAAGTCATGACGAAACAAAGTTGCTCTTTCCTTAATGGAACACTCTGTATATTATTCCATATTTCAGTTCTTCTCGAAATAAACAAAATTCATATAGCACCTCATGTACCTGAATAAACCGTTTTTGAGATATCGAACTTTGAAATTCATTTTCTTATACATAAATTATATAAAAAAATATTTTAGTCCATTAAGTTTATAGTCCATCAAGTTACCTTTGAAAGTTTCTAGCTCCATAACAACGCCGCTCGTCATTCTTTTGTCTAATAGTGATTATCTTGAAAACACACGTCGAAAATAAATTTAGTGTGAATAATTTTCTTACACAACTGTAGGTATTGGTCAGACCAAAATCCACATTGCATGGAGGAAATTCATACCCAACGACCACGGAAAGTAAATATTTGGCGTGGCATTATTGGACACGTCATACGACTCTATTTTATAAACGGATATTTGACCTCTGATTTGAACGATATTTATAAATTACTTTTGCAAGAACATATTATTCAATTAGACGATTATTCTCGAACAATAACAATCCCAATTTACCGGCAGAACAAATATAGGGCTCGTCCATATTTTGGACGTTTGGTACGAGCATATCTAGATGAAACTTTTCCTGATAAATGGATTGGACACAGAGGGGCAATTGAATGGCCAGCTAGGTCTGCGGATATAACTCCGCTTGACTTTTTTCTGTGGGGTCACATAGAAAATGTAGTATATAAAAATTGGTCGCAAAATATAGAAGAGTTTCAGGAAAAGATAAGGCTTGAAATTTTGGATTGCCGACCCTGTATAATACTGACCCGCTCTTAAGCCCAGTGCACCGCCCAGCAATCGAAATATTAGGCAATACATTTCTCCGACAGAATACAGAAAAGCGCGACGACTTGTGGATTCCGGTGACGCAAGTGCATGTTGCCCACATTTTCAATGTCAAGACAAACGGAGAGCAAATCCGGCTCAATGCTCATTGTCATAAGGCGTGCATTAATGATTTTTTATGCATGCCCAGGTATTTATTTGGATGTAATAGTCGCCTCCTTTTTTCTTCGCTTCCTTTTATTGTCAAGTTCATGGTTGATTTGATAAATCGGTGTCAAATTGGTAAACTTCCTATAGGCGATAACACCACTGGCTAGCGGCGTTTTTTGTGAATCATTCGTTTGTGATTATAAACCAATCAAAAGTTGGAATTCTACCGCAATCTTGCTTCAATTGTTCTCTGATTCATACCTTTTCGGTATCTAGATTATCCAGTTTTTTCGATCCTCGTTAAAAACATCGCAAGATCCTTAAAACTTGTAAATAATAATACTAGAGAACTTTCAACATCAAAATTTCTGGACAGAATAAAGTTTCCTTTGGTTATTTTCAAGTAATGCAACATGTAAAATATATGTCCAACAATGCTTTTCCTCTTAATTGGACAAAAGTTGCCGTGTAATTATGTATGTACTTCAAAGGTGTTACGTTTTAAAACAGAACAGTACCAGACAACATAATAAGTCCATTTAAAAATAAATTCAATTATCAGTGACCTCGCCGATATAAAAATTACATATTATTATATTCTAAGGTAAAGCAGATGTTTAT